ATGTTATGTGCAGTGAAGCTATTTGCGCTCAAGTATCCGTTTCTCACTAGGCACAAATTTACTTTAATCCCTACAGAATTGGGATTCTTCTCAATTGAGATTGTAGATTGCTGCTTATTAAAGCAGGCAGGAAGATTGCCATGGGTGTTATTGGATTTTGGATTACATTTCATTTTCATGAGCTATTATTAATTGTCACTTTGATAAAAGAAGCTGTATTAAGGTTATTTCAATTTAATTATTTCAGTAACACTAAATCTACGTAAGACTTAAATATGTAACTGTAGAAACATGAGTCAACTTGCACAATTCAAGTGTGTAAAATAAATTTGAGTTTTTAAGAAAGTCTTTTTCTGTGATTTTTACATCCTCAAAGGAAATGAGTTGTTTATTGTAAACTAACAATGAGCTGATTAMTATTTAAAGAATTTTGCTTTTGTTCTTTGTACTTATTCTGACTGTGTGAGCATATCTAAACTGAGAGATCTTGTAATTTGGTAATGCTGTTTTGTAACTGTGCTGCCGGTTTTCCTTACCTTAAAGTAGGACTAATTTAGGACAGATTCACTTAGACTCCTGCAGACATATTTAAAAATCACTTAAAGATGTAGATGTAGAACATTTTAGAATATAAGCATATCTATTTTACATATCTGTTTTAATAGATGCAAAGCACTGGTGAAATTTAGCGTTGTTGGAGTACTTTAGGAATACTGTAGACTCTGCCTTTGAGGAAAACCTTTTGGAAAGTCTGCTTCTTCCTCATTGCAAGACTTGTGCTGTAAATAGATATCCTTCTTCAGATATCTSCTTGAAGTTAACTGCAGTGAGACGAAAAAGTGGATGTTCTGATCCCAGGCTCCAAAGACAGCTGAGAGGACGACTTCGTCTTCTGGAAAATGACAGCAGGGAGGTCGTGGCAGTCTTGAGTGTAAGTTGCTTGTGCAGGAGTTGAGTTGCATTTATTCTGAGGATATCATCCTGTGGTTCTGAACCCATCTGTGAGGTACTCGGGTCTCATCTTGTCTGTGCTGTATGTCTGAATTTGAATGGCTCTTCTCCCAAGGCCATATACTATCTAGACTTGTCAGATACACTTGACAATTCAGAGATTGGGTCACCAATTTCATGCAATGTAAATAAGATTTGCTAAGTGAAAAATTTAAGAGTCTTAATTGAAATATATGCTTTGAGATTAGACTTTTTTTAAGATTTAAAATATCTACTGATTTAYTAATTTGCCCTCAAACTTATTCTTTGCTTCTGTTTCTAATCCCTAAGCAGACTGTTAAATGGAAGCTACCTGGAATGCCTGCTGCTAAGCCAAAGAGCAATTTTGAAGAATAATATTAATATTGTACTGGCTAGGGGTTGATAACTGTACTTTTAAATTGCTCATATGGTTGGTCTCATTTTAGGGCAGTGAGAGAATAGGACATCAATGAGGAGGAAGGGGGGGGAAAAAAGACTATAAATATACAAGATATTTGAGACTTGGAAATAGCCTAGGAAAAGAACTGTCAAGGAAGCAAGATTTCAATAAATTCTTTAGAATTGTTTTGATATTGAGCAGTGCATGAAGCCCCCGAGGCTGAGATCTTAGCATGTGTTGGCAATTCATTAATAGACTTCAGGCTTTCATTAATATTTCATCTGGTGTAGAAAGGGGCTTGCACAAGATCAAAGCCTGTAATGAGGCATGAAGAGGAGGCCTGAAAGAGACTTTTGTTTTCTGAGAGGAATTTGGTTTTTAATCCATTATGTGAATTAAAAATACGCAAATTAGAGTGAATTCAGAGGTGTTGTAAAATCTAGTCAGAAAAAGTGTATCAAGCTCTCTTGCTTAGACTTCATAATTTTGAAGGACAAGTTCTTTGTGGAATTAGGATCAGTTTCAGTCTCTCAGCATCTTTTTTTTAAAGATACATTGCAAGCTTGATGTGACATATAGGGACAAGTGTACAGGATATTGAGAAATGATATAGCAACTTTATATTGGTTTAGTTTTGTACCTGATTTATTCCTCAAATACTGATTCAGCTATTTGAGTCAAATTGTGACAGTTTCATACATTTTCCCATTAGATGGTAACCAGCACCACTGAAGAGCCCAGTTTTGAAGTTAGATCTAAAGATCTAACTGATGGGCAATCACACAAGCAGTCAAGATCTGTTTGGCTCAAAGCCATTARAATGTTGGATTTCAATTATTTGAAAGTTTATATAGTTCTCAGTATTGCTGAAATCCCTGATAATCCTTCATTATAACTTACAGTGATTATTGTTCATCTTATTAACTTGCAAAATCTAATGCCATCCTAGCAACATGAATACAATGAGAAGCTTCTGAGCTTTTTTTGACATCTCTTTACAGCACATACTTTAATTTCAGTCCAAAGAAGGAAAGAATCTTAATGGATTTTTWAAAAAAATAACATTTTAATATATTTAGTCTTAATGCATAGAAAGAGTAAACTAGGAAATGTTTCCTAAATGTTCAGTGTTTCCTCTGGAACAAGAATGAAGCTCCCAGGTTCTGACTGTTATAGGTATTTTAAAGTATAGGTAAAAGGTTGGATGACTTTTATCCTCTTTTTCATTACAAGATGTTTCAGCATTTTGATTAATGAAAAATTTTGCTTATTGCATATGATATTAGTATAAYTGTATTTTTTATTTTAGGAGCTCTCAGCTAGATTGCTGTCTATTCACAGTGACCAAGACCTAATAGTAGTGACTTTTAAAACTTTTGAAGAAATATGGAAGTTTCTAACCTACTATTCRCTTGGTAAAGCTATTTCACCATACTACAGTTCAACATGCTTCTGTCTTATTGTTCTGAGCACACATAAATGTTATTGAACTTAGTAATGCTGATGGGCTGGTGAGAACCCCCTCCAAGATGGGCCAGTGCATGATCTTCTCTTTCCACAGTACTAAGGACAGAGAAATTGTTAAACACTTGATGAGATTTGAGCATAAACCATCAAAATTAGCTATAACCTGTGATTCGGTGGGTGCAATTTGTCAGTACTGKGAAGCAAAGGTTGTTATAAATTGTGGGTTAAACAACTATTGAATTATCTGAATACCAACTCCATTCTCTGAGGTTTTTTTCCTTAGTTTAACTACAGCACTAAAGACTTTTTTCCCCCTCCTAGGCTTTATAAATCACTGCATGGAGAATTTATTCCTAGATCCATCTTTCTGGCTGTCTTCTCAAGAAGAGGAAGAAACAGGCATTGAAGTCTGTATAAATGAGCATTCTTTAAATTTGATGTACCAAAGTCTGCTAATACAGGAAGGTAGGAAAAACTGCATGCACTAACTTTAAAGAAGCAACTTTATTAATCTTTTAAATATATATTTATTAAATTTGAAATCTACTTGAAATCTATTGACTCCAAGTGCACCAGAAAGAGAAGAACAACACATTATTGAGTTCCGAATTCAGCAGTATTAAAGGCAACTTGAGAAAGTGATGTGCAATTAACCCACAAATAAAAGGCCTGGGCAGGGGCAAACACTAACCTGTTCAATAGTGCTCCAGGTCCTGGTGGTGTTTGAGGGAAATGGATTGCAGAGGGGCCAGGCTCATGTGCTTTCTAGAAAGAGCATCATCTACTACTGCTATCGAAGACCATGGTGGGCTTGATGGGTCACTGACCAATGCAGTAGAAACTGCATTTTTCGCAGTTTATGGTTTTATAAAAAAGTTTTGRTGTCTTTTATAAAAAAAGACATCACCTCTGCATTTTCACTTAAATACAACCTAGATAAATGCTTGAGTATTTGACAAACATTCAGAAAAATCTTTTGAAACCTGTTTTCATTTTTTTAATAAGATGTTGCTGATACTTTTGAAAACGATTTTAAAGCCCATGTGACACTAAAACTTTATCATAAAATGGCATCTGCTGCACTGCTTTCTTCCTAGGGGCATTTTTTGTTCTAAGTCCTGACAATCTGATAAGAAAGATAACAGCTACAGAGAATGAAATAAACATTGATGGTGAGAATGGGGCTCTTGCTGAAGATGCATCGGTTGGATGTGGGGATGGTGACGTGACCATGTTGTCTAATGTTTCTTCAGAGCCATTGATCCCTTTTCATCAGTAGGTATCTGACTTTAGCTACCTACTTCATAAACTTCTYTTCATATGCATGTCTTTTTAGACACAGATGTGTAAACTGTAGCTTCTTATGGAACATCCACCTACCAATGACAGCAAATGCTCTTTGTTTTCTTGCATACCACAGGATAGAAATTAATTTGGGTAGTTAAACTGCAGCATTAAATATACCATCTTGCAAGTTGGATGTGTTTTTGTAAATCTGAAATAATGACTATTTGCACTTCTAGAATAAAATAATTGTAATAATATCAATTGTCAGGATGCCCAGAGATATAGACAATAACAGGCTAGTCATGMTTTTACTCAAAATTATTCACAGGAGCTATACAACTCCCTAATGCTAATCAGCTATTAAAAGCTAATGTCTGAGCTACTGATTTTGAACTTGAAGAAAAGCCACAAAAGTAATGCTTTTCTTACTATTAATGCTACTCAAAATACAGCTACATTCAAAGTACTGTTGAAACATTTGATGGGTGGGCTATATTTTTTTTAATGGTTTTAAAGTATCATTGTTGTGATTTTAATTGTCACATGCACTTATTTCTTTTTTTAATTTCAGATGGTTTCTTAAAGTGTATTCTGATCCTATTGATCTTACTTACAAAAGAGAACCTAAATCCATCAGGCAAGTTGGTAAGAAGCTCTSTTTAAACATCGGCATTAAAGAAAAAATATCCATTTATCCTGTGCGTTCTTTAGGACAGACATGAAAGGCTTGAATAAAATTTGTCATATTTCATTTACTAGGATGGCAAAATGGTTTTCAAAAATGAAATTGGAACACTAGTCTGCCTATGGCACATCACACTTACAGGACTACTTTCAAAGGGTTTTTATAAAATATATTGCTAGATGTGTCTAATTTCTCTTTTTATTTCTTTTTATTTTTTTCTCTTGAATATCAAAGTAAATACAGAAGGTATTGAAGAGAAGGTAGTGAAGAGTAGTTAGTGAATGCTTCTGTGGGGAGGGTGATAAAGCAAATGCACCAATATGATTGTTGTGGATCTCACATGTCTGCTCTTTCATCAAGTACTGCTAGAGAAACCCAGACTGCAGGAGGTTAGAGAGTTAAATATGTCTTATTTTCTTCTGCTTCATAAATACTGTATTATTGGTATGTAAGTGTATATCTATCCAATAGGGATTTTATTATCCAAATATTCTCACTSTAGTCTGAATTATAGCTTCGAGAGGGAAAAGCAGTGTTTTTTGAAATAATTCTATAGCAAATACTTTAGAAGTCCCTTTCTAAGGATGGGGAAACAGGCTAGTTGGGAAGCTTAAGCCTTTATTTACCATTTTAAGTGCTCAAAGCAAATTGATTAGCTTTKGATGCTTTAAGACTTTCCACATGTGCACTTCAAGAGTCTTTGGCTAAACATGCTCCTTTGCTGAGTTGCAATTCTATGAAAAATCTTTATATTTTTAATTATTGTAGCTGCACATTTTTATTACACAGCAACAGGATCCTGCCTAGCTGYAGTGAATTATGAAAGTACTGGGCCTGAAGAGATTGGTTTCCAAGCAGGGGACAAAATTGAAATCCTTGGCTACTTCATTGAATGCATGGAATGGTTTGTTGGAAGACATGTGCTTACTGGTCAAACAGGTTTTGTAAAGACAAATCATGTTAAACTGGACATGTCAGGGAATAGGTAAGTGATAGATTTGTTTAACCTGTGCACTAAAAGCMTGAAAGGAGTTTCAAGCATTAAAACACTGAATATTTAAACTTCTTTTGAGGGTTGTCATAATTTCTTTTACTCAAAATAAATGTAAAGAAATTGGATTATCAAGTGTTGTGTTGGAAATGTTATCAAACTGTACATGAGTTGCTTATTGGGGAAATGAATTTCAATAGTTGCTCATATTAGTATCAGTCTCCACTGTATTGAATTCCAGAATCCAAGGAATTTTGCTATTTTGGAAGTCTTGATTTTTACTGTTTATTCTAGAGATCTGTTTAAAGTCTCCAAATTCTGTTCTTGCTAGAACCCTCAATATAACTTGTAAATTGTTTCAAATGAGGGCTTTTGTTAGTCACAATGCAGAAAAACTGAAAATTCAGTCTAACATCCATTATCCTCATGTGAACWAAAGTAACACTTACTATTGCCTGGAGCGTTTGCATGCTGAAATAAAGGAATTCTTAGATGTAGTTAGAGGTCCACTTGATACAACTATCACTGCTTTTTCCTAGCAAACTTAATATTCTTAAATATTTGTGTTTTTAGTGAATACTCGCACTGTTATATCTAGATAGAGATAAATTGATAYAGCAGAGGTCATGGAATACGTATGCACAGCTATCATGTCTTGTATGTATGTTTAAGTGTGATTGCTATTAATTCTGAACACAACAAGATCTAGAAAGRCTTCAACAAGCACAATCTTGAATGATAACTTCTGAAGCCATCAGATGCGTTCTCAGAGTTGCTTCTTTCTTTGCTAGACCACAAGAGCTGGAATTTCTGGAAGCAGAAGAACTACCTTTTTTTTCAAAAGAAAAAAATTTGGAAGAAGTCATACATTTATTGAAACAAACATCAATCACAGATGTTTGCTCRGTGTATAGAATAGGTGAGTATGAGCTTCACAAGATATGTATGTTGTTTCCATACTTCTGTTACGATTGTGCTGTTTTTTCTATTTTAATGAGATTCCAGCACTTAAAACTATTTATGTTGCTTTAATATATAAACATATRCTATATATCGTTCTAAGCATATTCTAAACATACTATATGTTGATATTCAGTTTGATYACAGATGTAGTATCTAAAAATCCTTTAGACCCTTTGCTGTGGAACCTTTTCTTACAGCAAATTTCCAAACTTTTTGTCCATTTTTAAGTGAATAGAATGGCTATTAAACATAGTCCTTTAGGTTTGAATGCTATAGTTGCGTTACCAGAGACTGGATGTTCAGCCAAATAATATCTTTGTTGTTCTTAGGAAAAGTGGAATAACAGCTGGTGTACGTGTGCTCTAGCATCCAACTCTTTATGCTTGCTTTAAGTCATATAGAAAACAGCAGGRTCTATTGATATAAAGAAATAATGCATTTTTAGCTACATCCTTTCTGATACAGCCACTTTTAAGTGCCTGGTGTTTTCTCTGTTGACTTTAGACATGGGCAGTCTATGATAAATCTCTTGCTGAACTGAACTTGTGGGAAACTTCTCATCCCCTTACAAGCTGCTCTGTGGAGAGGGATGTGTGTGCTCTGCACCCTTATTCTCCCTGCAGACAGTAACTTGGACATCTCAGACCTGAGCTGGAAAATTTTGTCAATGTCCAGTGACTTCATTTCTCTCAAATGATAAGCCTAGGAACAAAACTTGAAACTCGGGAGTTAAAACGCATGGACTTAGCAATGTTATCTTTGCCTGTAGCATGTCATCCTCTCCTTAGTCATTGCAGCTACCGTTTCTTTTCAACTCCCCTCTAGCTAAGTGCTGTATTTTCATCACCATTTTCTCTTAAATTGTTCAAGCAATCAGCATAACCTGACTTATCCAGAACAAGTGTTTTCAGAAGTCATTTGATGTTTTGGGTGAGCTGATTAAATGCCTCGCAGGTTTTCAGTTCCTTCTATCTGTATCAGTATAACATAAAGTATCATTATTTATGAACACTTCCTCAATTCAATACTCGGAGCATCATTTTATAACAACTAATACAAACACTTCATGGCTTTTTTTGGCAAACTCTGGGAAGCATTTAAACAAAGGAAATTCAGAAGTAAACAGTCAATGAAACATCTTTGATAATGGCTAGTAAAATAGCTTCCTATCAGCTTACAGAGACCTGGTTCTGAGTCTCTCATTTTTAAATATTTCCTTCCTACCATTTCATTGCCTCTAGGATATATGAAAAAACAGAATACATTATTCTAAAAATGCAGAATGACAGCTGAAATACTGTAATATCTTCTACATAGTAATTTCTTGTGTTTTTTGAATGTGCTATGTTAAATGTTTAAATCAGGATTTAAACAAGTACTTTCAATGGAAATGGAGAAATTTAAAAATTTAGAGGTTTTTCATCTGCATGTTGCTRAAATGGCTACAAAAGCTTGACACATCTTATGCAAGTTATACTAAATAATTTTTCCAAAGATTGATGTTAAAATCTATTTCTGTACTATTAAGAGTATGATACAAACATCTTCCCTCTAAATGAGGCATTCACAGTGTCCATTTGTAAAGTGTCATATGTTTATATGTTGTGTTGTAATTCATCAGTGGGAAAGCAAGTTGACCTTAATTCTCAATGTTGTATGCAGATGTTTCCCTACCTACTGTGGACTCTTAGGTACATAATAGCAGACATATTGTTGCGGAAAAGTGAGTTGTTACTGTGTTAGCTTTGGGCCAAGTTTAGAATATGTTTGTTCTTTCCTAAATTTACATAACCCATGGATGCCTTTTGATGCTATAACCTATGACAGGACTATTTTTAGTTTATCTAAAATTGGAAAAACTTGAATACCATAATCAACATGGCTATTTTCTTTTTTACAGATCAGTTGGAAGAACTCGAATATCAGAAGTCTCATGAATGTGGTAATGATTAAAATACATACAAATCTTATGCAAAATGAATGTGGTTTCTAATCTTTTGGGTACCTTTCCCGTCTTTTCTCTTTATTTCTTAATGTCTTTTCACATTCTAATTTTATTCTTGTCTGCTTYTCTGTTTTCACAAGTTTGATTGTCRGCCATTGTACACTTTCAGACATTAGATGCCTCTCAGACCTAACCATCCAGTGTCGAAGTATAGTTTATTTTTGTTGTTGTGACTTCCTCTTCTTCCCTCACCAGCTATTTAAAAATGGAAAACATTGAATATGGGACACCTGGCAAATGCTGAGCTTCAATTCCAGCATATTTTCATTTTGCATTAAAACTTTGTCCCATTAATGTAGTTCCTCAAAGGTAAATTCTGAAGATGAAATGTTATTTCCCATTGCCATTTAGTTGTCCTGCTGTCATTGCCTTGATTGTACTAGCACTTTTCTAAATACTTTATCAATAATTTTGATATTTATGATTTTGTTGAACATTTTAAGACATGAAGCTCAGACTTAGGGAGCTCAGTTTTCTACAATTTCAATAGAKTGATAGTTGGCTGTAACCCTCATTGAGTATCGTCCCAGTCTGCCTCCGTGGTCCCACCTATGCCTTTATGGGCCCCTTTATAAACACAAATAGAAACCATGTGGGGATCCACAACAGAAATGGCATAGCCCTGTTTCTCCATCCTAAATAATCTGGCCTGGTTTTCCAGCAGAACATAAGCRTACTCTTAATTCACATGCATACCCACTTTCATGGTTCCTTTGAACCTTAAGGATATCCAGTATCCATGCTCAGTCCTTTTGCCACTTAACTCTAGTTTGACTTGAGATTTTTTCCAGCTTCTAGTCTTTTCCAGTTTACCAGCTAATTGGAATTGTAATTCATTAGTGTATTTCTCCTTCGTATAGAACAGAGGTTATACACTTCCAAAAATTGCTTTGGAGTAGAGTTAATTAAGGTGGAACTGATAAGTATTGAGGTATAAGTCTTGGCCAGACAAGTGTACTTCTTCAGCAGCCTGCTTCTGTGGGACAAGCGCTTGTTACCACCTGCTACCCCCATTCCTCTGTTTTTCCTAAATTCATTCCTCCCTAATCTGCCTCAGTCTCTCCCTTTCCCCACCTTTGGTTTGTCTCCTAGAAGATAAACAATTTTCTTAAGAGTATTTACTGATGAATGCTTCYATTTAATCAAAGATATGTGGAAGTGTACCCATGCGAAACTTGTAATCTTGTAACTTACTTTTGAACTACAGAAATTCTATGTCCATGTTCTACCACGGTATCCACTAGCAAGAATGGCAAGATAGAAGAATTCCTGAAGAAATTCAAGGATTTGGAGGCCACACAAGTGGGAGAGCCAACTCCTGAAGGAAAAGATTCTGCTAGCTCTTTAAATACAGGAATCCTTCCTCAACCTGAAAAAAAATTCTTCTGTATACATCAAGATGATGTTCAAGCATCTAAAGTGTTTGACTCATTGTTGCTGTTCTTAAATAGAAAAGAGTATGAGAGGAACTTCAAAGACCTCTATGATTTTTCTTACTCTTTTATCACGAACATGTTTTACGGTTACTCAGAGGAAGAAGAAGTGGTTAATTATTTGAGATTAGCAAGGGAAGCAGCGAAGAAAGCAAGCATGKCCTGGGCTCTCACAAGGCTATGTTTTCTTTTAGGTAGGTTGAGTGTTAAAAAGCTTAAGTTTTCCCAAGCTCGGGTTTATTTTGAGGAAGCCTTGGGAGCTGTAAATGGAGGATTTAGTGATATGTATCTCATAATTGCTCTTTATATAAACCTAACAGGGATCTATTTGACACAAAAGAACAAAGAAAAGTGTGCTCACATTTTTGACAAGGCTGTGTCCCTTCTTGTGAGTATCCCCAACTACATTTGCAGCTCTGACCTTGAGTCAGATATTCTAAAGCATGCTCTAAAGAGGGCAATACTGAGCCAGAGCCAGCCTGCGGAGGCAAGGGTGTGCTTTCTATTGGCAAAACACTACAMTGAACGCAAACAGTACGAAGAGGTGCTGCCATTCTTGGAAAGGTTGCAACTGTTGCTTAATGACTTGAGTTTTCAAAACAACTTGACAACCAACTGCTATTTCAAACTAGCAGAGTCGTACAATGAGAAATGCTTACCCCACATTGTGTTAAGTTGCGTAAAGGTTGCTTCTTCCTGGAGTTCAGGTACCTTAATGGATTCCTTGAAGAGAATTGATTTGGTCGTCAAGAATGCTCCCAAGCTCTATGGCCTTAGAAAACTCAAGCAGACGCTCCCATCCCAAATAGCACCTTATCTCACGCAAGCTCTCTCCTCTTCGTTTACTAATGACCACCAAGGACTACGCAGCTCTATCTACCTTGGCTTAGCAGAACTGTACAGCCACTACAAGCACTATGGAAAAGCCATTGCTTACATGACGAAAGCGCTGGACTCCGATATTTCTGCTAAGCCGGAGGAAACTGTCAACCATTTGGTTTCACTTGCTTGGCTATATATTCTTCATGGGCAGTATGATGTGGCATTAGCCATTTTAAATGCCATTGGAGACTCTTCCCGGAGCAATCCTCAGCAACTAGGCATTGTTTATAATATGCTTGCCATTGCTTTAAAAAGAAGAAATGATACCAAGGGAGCTGCTGAGAATTACTACAAAGCCCTGCGTCTTTCAGAAGAGACCAATAGGACTCATAACCAAGCTATTGTCYTGGCTAATTTTGGGGCCCTCTGTCTGCATGCAGCAGCCAGAAAGCTGGCAGAGCACTATTATATCAGGGCAGTGAAACTGTTCTCCACGCTTCCAGTTATGGACTGTGGCCGAGWTTTTAATCAAGTCCTCCTTCAGCTGGGATGTTACTACGTTAGTGGATCTCAGAGAGAAAAAGGAAGATTTTATTATGAATGGGCATTTTTAGTTGCAATGGAGACAGGGCATCTGGAAAGTAAGTACAATATTGCACATTCAGTTATGTGGCATCTACTGAAGCAGTTATAATTTTTGCTTTGTTCTATAATARAAGAAATATGTATTTTTTGCTGTAAATATCACTTTGTTTGTAAAAAGCATAGGAATTAGTACATTCTGTATTATTTGCCAGTACAGACAGCACCAGTTTAAATATATGAAAACATAATGTTCTGAATTTTTGAAATAATAGGAATTATTTTTAAACACTTCTAACTTAACCATGAATCTCTGTCTTAAAGTTGTATTTCAAATCTCTTTTCCTAGGTCAGCTTCAAGCTATTAAGCTGCTGTGTCAATTCTACAGTACAGTTATTCCTAATGAGGCTCAATGTGTCATCTACAATGAATATCAGCTATCTTTAGCTAGAAAGATGTCCAACAAAGTTTTGGAGGGACAAGTTTTGGAAACTATTAGTCAGCTCTATCTGTCGCTAGGAACAGAAAGGTGAGACATACTCAGTGACTTTTATTTTGATCAAAACATGTCATGCTACAGGGCTTCATTTTTTGCAACAGATGAATATAGCTCAAATGTTCACACTTTGCCAATATACTCTGGTATTAATACTGGAGAGTTTTTTGATTTAAGTAACTGTCTCCYCAAGACAGACAAGATGTTCAAGAAACATTAGCACCACTTCATGAGCCAAATTGTTTTTCRAATGTATATAAATATGCATACATTATGCAACTTGATGTCTTGATGACTTTTGGTGATAGTAGCTATTATGTGACAATTTTTCTATCAAAGTGAATGAAATATTCCAATAGATCAAATATCAAATTGTCTGACTTCAGGGAGTCATTCACTTTGGAACAAGATATTCTTTTTCTTCTCTCTTGAGGCRTATTTGAGATTAGCCTCAGTTTTGGAGAGAGTGTAAGGTTTTAAGTGAAAGAAGCCTATGTGTCTGACTTCTCATCTGTCATCTAGCTTATTCTGCTTTGCTAGCTTCTRTTTAATGATATAGTAAGTGATTTCTTTTTGCATGGGCTAAGATTTATGGTTTAAAATCAGAAGTATTTAACTAGCTGGATAACCTTATTCTTTGTGTGCRTGAATTTACCAAAAAAAGTTGACTGTGTAGCTTCCGCAGACTATGGAGTACACTCCATACATTAAAAACAAACAAAAAAAACCCTATAATATTACAATATTCTGAGTTAACAGCCCTGAGTAACAAAGGTATCTCTACAATTATGTAGAAATGAAAACTGTTTCATGCTCTGTGGCACTGCATTCCCTCTTCTGGAAATYACCTCCTCACTGTAAAGGAGCATCTACCCCCTAGCAAGCCTGTGGCTGTGCCAGGGGTCCCAGCCTGACCTGTCTCAGCTAATAGGCTGGGCTATGGATTGGCAGATATTTTTATCTCGGCCATAAAAGCAAAATGTCTGAAGGAGAATGGAAGAGATTTTTATTCACTAGACTCAGTTGGACTATTTTAACTATCTGCTTTGCTGTATCCTCATATTTCTCTGAGCTTARCTTGCTGTTAAAGGCAGCTGAAATAGTGGATCTCTATTTCCTATTAAGAATAAGTGACCTTTTTCAGTTTCTGTATGAATCAGAGTGGTAAAATCTTTTTTTTTCCACTCAAGTGAGATTTTGTTGAGACGGAAGAGAAATCCTGATAGGATTTCAAGAAACCTACTACTATTTGATTTGTTCAGCATCTTTTGGAGGTCTGAATAGGTTGTATAAAGGTACAGTACTTAAGGATTCACTGTAACTGTGCAGTTCATGTGCTGGGACTTTGCAAGATGACAGATTGAGAAGGAATTAATAAAATATTTGGGGCTTCTGTGCCTGGCGTGAAGCCCCAAAATCTTGACCAAACAGGATTTTCTGATTAAAAGTATGGCCATTCCTCTGGGAGCGTGGTGCCCTTGGACCTTCTCAGTARCAACTGTGCTACTTCATCTTATAATTTAGAACTGGTGTGTGGATTTTGTTTTTCTTCTCCCAAGATTTTATGCAAATGTTTACTAGCCCAAATTGTTCTCAGGTCAGGTGACATTTAGAAATAATTGTATTTTATACTGTCTCTTACATATGAAACCTTTCTCTCATTATGAAGATGTACATTCCTAGTTCTGAAAAGTACCTTTATTAGCAGTTTTCCTTGTTTCAGGGCTTATAGGTCAGCTCTGGAATATACCAAAAGAAGCCTTGGAATATTTATAGATCTTCAGAAAAAAGAGAAAGAAGCATATGCTTGGCTGCAGGCAGGAAAGATTTATTACATTCTTAGGCAGAATGAGCTTGTGGATCTTTATATTCAGGTATGTTTTGCTCACTTGGTATGTTTTGTAGTTTCTAATGTTAATACGTTAAAAAAAATTGTACAAAGAAGCAGAAAAACATAGGTACTAAGCTCATATTTAAAGTGTGTTGACATTTGTTGTGGATTACTTTTAATGAATATTTCATGTATTCATTGAATACATTCCATGGACACAGACCAAACCCATTTATGGAAGGGACTGTACCATAGATGGCTATTTCTTCCTTCTACTAGAAGGCTCTAGCTGATAGCCAAGGCAGTCATCCAAATGGTGTTGGACAAGCCAAATCAGCCTGAGGACTGACTTCATATCTGTTGTTTTCAATGTGAGAAACAGGTCAGGGACATACACACAGTGTGGGACATGTATAGATGTTGGTATTTAACATCAGTGTCAGTGCCTCTGTCAGGAGAGTATTAGAATAGAAATCTGTCCCCTGAAAAGCTGGCCACTCTGCCAGTAGTTTGTGCAAGTCACCACAGCTCCGTCTGTATTTAAAGACCAAATTCTAAAAATGTGATGTAACAGAGTCCTTAGGTTCTTTAAGTCTGAGTAGGATCAAAGACTTTAAGTGAAAGCAGAGAGTTGGACTGGTATTAATTGAATGCAGTTTGAAAATTAGAGATTACAAAACCAAAGCAAGATTCAGCTACTGAGTAAAGCATCCTGAGACAGCAGGGCTGTCTTGCTTCATCTGCTTTCCCAATACTACTTTTGCTTTCCCAATAACTGACTTTTGCTATTATTCATTTGCTTTGGAGGGTGCATGCTTCCTTTCATGAAAATCTTCCTACTAATAATGGCATAAAATGATTTCAGAAGAGCAATAAAGAGAAGCTAGACCTACCTTCTCTTAGAATTTGCAGGCTTTTAAATCTTGACTCTCAGATACATCAAGCTTTAAGTTATTTTTCTTCCTAATTGAAATTTAATGATGTAGCTATCAAAGGCTCTGTTGCTTATGGAGAGTGCTAGGTGCTGACGGAGATGGTAGGAAACTATTGCTTGAAAACAGAATATTGTGATCCTGTAAGTGCCCTAGTCCTTATGCTTCTTGAGTATCTTCCACTGCCTACTCAAAGAAGAGGATGTCAATGAAGACAGCTGTAGTCTCAGCAAAGCTAACACATCTTCTCCTGTAGTATGAGAGGGTTCAACAAGATTTTTTTAATTGCTTTTTTAATTGTTAGTATAACTACTTTACCAAAAAGTAATCAAGGTTTTYCTTTCACCTGTCCTGTTTTTTCAGGTTGCTCAGGATGCTGCTCTTTACACAGGAGATCCAAATTTAGGAATGGAGCTGTTTGAAGCTGCTGGAGACATATTTTTCAATGGCACTTGGGAAAAGGAGAAAGCAGTGACTTTCTACAGGGTTTGTGTTCTGTTTTTCTATTGCATTAGTAGTTGTTGCTAGGTGTTCTACAAAAGCTAAACCAAAAGATGATCTGCTCACCAGTTTATAGTTTGTTGTAGCTGAGTAATTTCTGTCAGTGTTAACAGATTTGGTCTGTTTCAACTTTTCCACTGACTGTATGATCTCTGTTAGATGCAAACAGAAAACCAAGAGTAGAAATGGCTTTAGATCATAAAAATTGATGATGCCAGCACACACCTTGGAATTCAGATGTGCATTTCCTCATGCATTTTAGGATAGGGCCATTCCACTTGCTGTTGAGACGGGTAATAAAAATGCTGAACTCCGACTATACAACAAGCTGTCAGAACTGCTGGCAAACCTGAAGGCTTATGAGGAAAGTCTGGAATATGCAAGATTATCCCTGATGCTCAGTGTGAATTTAGGTAAGACCAGTTTCCTGGTCTCCTTTTTACAACTAAGCTATAATATAGATAAATATTGTTGTTCCTAGAGGCTTTTAAAAGTAATGCCCTGATTTTAGATTTGTTCATGTCCTTAGTAATGGACAGAGCTGTAAAAAGTAATAATAGGGCTAGTTTTCAAAGACACCATTCTCTCAAATTTGAGAGAGATGAACATTCTCCCCACTCYGCACCTGTGCAGACAGGTCACTTTGATCATTGTGATTTTTTTATATGATTTTTTGGATGGAAAGTTTGTATTGGAATAAATTTTCAATCCCATTATCTACTACACTTTGAAAATCTATTTATATTCCTCAAGCATGTGTGCTGGGTTTGTATAGCTATATACGAGAGGTATTAATGCAATTGTTTCTTAAGAAAATCCCCCCAAAAAATCAAATGCTACAGGGAGAAATTCAGCAGTTTTGTATGTGTGTTTTCTTTTTTTTTAAAGAAATAAAAGTCATTAGGTTTTGGCTATGCATCTCTTGGAGAAATTTGTTCATGAAAGGATCAACAACTACTATATAGAAGAAAAAAAAGATTAGTTTCAGAAAGCGGACTTCTTACTGTCTCTCTGACTTTATCCTGATTTCAACATCTTCTGATTAGGAAATCAGCTCAATGAACGAGTAGCCTACCATCGCCTGGCTGCCATCCATTACCATCTGGGTCACTGTGAGCTTGCTGAACACTTTTACTTGAAAGCCTTGTCCCTCTGTTCCTCTCCTTTGGAGTTCGAGGAAGAAACACTGTATTACGTSAAGGTGTACTTGATCTTGGGAGACATCATATTCTATGACCTAAAGGTAAGAAATACTAAAAGAAGCAGAGGGGGAAACTATTCCATTGAAATGTCTTATGACATTAAGTTTTTACCTATTATTGGTTTTATGCATTTTGAATACAATAATAGAGTGGAAAAACTAATTTTGGTTTCAGAATCTTAATTCTTTTGGTCAGATATGTAACAAACTGCTCTTGGATGTCCTCTTAAACCTGTTGAACTACAGAGGGTACTGTTTTTGTCTCTTATTTCAGGATCCTTTTGATGCAGCAGGTTATTACCATTTGGCACTGGCTGCCGCCATGGACTTGGGTAATAAAAAAGCCCAGTTGAAGATTTACACAAGACTTGCAGTCATCTACCATAACTTTCTTGTAGATCGGGAAATGTCTCTCTTCTTCTATCAGAAGGCAAGAACTTTTGCAACAGAGCTGAATGTTAGGAGAATAAACCTAGCTCCTGATAGGTGTTATAAGAATTCAAGAGCATCTTTGAAAAATGTATTCTAACATCAATGGAAGCAGCTAGAGAAATACTGCATCAGCCTTGGAGCATGCAGAATGCATTTAATGTGTCATACGGCCTATATTTAAGTGGAAGCTTAGCCTCTGAAACAGGTTCAAATTGATTTTTTGATTACCTGTTATGACTGTGGACTGTGTTTGTCTGAGATGTGCAGTCCTGTCTCTGTATTTGAAGATCAGTGTATGAACTAAACCACAACCTGAAGGCCTTTATCTTTTTAAAAACTGCATTTTTTCTTTGCTAATTGTTTTTGCATAGCTGGATATCAGGCACAAAATGATTGATGCATGTATACAATGAAATATATTTAATAAAGAATTGCAGAGGGCTAACACTCCATGAAAAGCTGTGGCTTTCTTTGACCCAGCTTTATTGTATTTACTCAATGTTGTAGAAATATTTGCACAAGCATKTTAGGGTATTTGGGAATAAATTTGATCCAGTTCTCCAGGCATCACTCATCACTTTCCCTCAAACTTGCCTACTGTGGAACTCTTAAGCTCTTAGAGAAAACACTTTGTAGTCATGAGAACACTTATGTGCACTTATGTGGCAATTTTCAAAGCTGTCAGTATTATTTCCATAGGACTTATTCCAGCAGCTACTACAGCCTCCCCTATAACTATTATGTCCAGTAGAATATATTTATTCACTTCACTTGCAAAAATCTGTATTGTTACTTTTGGTAGTTCTAAAACCCTGTGCTTCAAATATTTTTATGTAGCAAGGCCTTGGTAGAAATGATATAGTAGATCATGCTGTATAGTTTGAGAAGGAATGTGTATGTTTGGAGTTTGTTATTTGCAATTAAACATTTAGATAAATTGGGAAGTAATGTCTTTTCATTTTTTTTGTCACAACTACATAGTTTATTGTATTTTTAAAGGCCTTTACATGGGATGTGAAGGTGAGTTGAAAGTTACGGGCTATCTATTTCATTTTATTTGCCAGTACTGCCTAATCTGAGGAATTAAGTAAATGTACAACCCTCCTCCCTTTTTTTTCTCTCCCTATCCCTGTATTCTCATTGCTTTGACTGTCTGCCTAAGCATCTTTTCTTGAAATCTGTAATTCTGCACACTCTGAACACTTCATATGTGTATCTGCCTCTGACTTTTGTGGGTTTTCTCTCTTTGTACATACATCATTATATTTTTGGTTCCTTCCACTAAAGGARTGTAGGATACTTATGCATAACCTGGATGCTAAGCTACTACTAGAGAAGTGTCACTCCAGAGAAGTGACAGTCTAGATTTATGCTGCTAGGCTCAAATGGGCACAGCTGGGCCTGTATCTTCCTCCTCAGTGACTGCTGTAACCATAGTTCTATGGAATGGACCACTGACACCATCATGATAATTGTGACCTGTTAAGTATCTTCAGGACAAGATTTGACTTGCGTAGACGGAGAACCTCTGCTACTGTTGGTGCTGCTGTTGGTTCAGAATATATAAACTTTTCATCTGATTCTGATTGTCATAAACACGTTCTGTCTTTGTATTTCAGGAAGGGAAAGCTGCTCTTCCTAATCTGAAATTCAATTCTACTGATAAGGACTGCTTTCCTTCACTGCCGCTTCYTCTGCTTGTCCCAATTTCACAGAAAACTTGCTTTGAGAACAATTCAGTCTTTCATATTAATTCACTATTTAATGTCATATTGTGCTTGCACAATGTACATACCACCCTGAATATCTTATGCACTTCTTTTAAGCCTGCAAAGCATAAAAATTTAACTGGAGATATTAATATTTTTTTAACTGCCTTTTTTGGAATTTAATACCTGAATCCCTTCAGTTTGCTCTGAAGACAAAGGAGCTCTATTTCCACCCTTAGAATGTCCTTAAGGTAAGTCACAGGCATGAAATTTCAAAAATTTCTATAAAATGTCTGGTGGCATTTATGTTCCAAAAACTGTTTCAAAGGCCCTTGGACTTTTAAATGTGTCTTTATTTTCTGCACTAAAGACTTTGTTTTTATGATCATTGAATCATAAAATGCACCCATATGCACCAAAGCTGGATCTTACAAATTCTGAATTTGACTTCAAGGCTTATAGTATTTCAAGATGTCAGCTTTGCTAGCAGAAAGATATTTCATGATGGAGTTCAAATGCATCTAAAATGAACCATACAACTCCTCTGTCACAACCACCTTCTTGCAAGTTTTGCTGCTAAGTACTACTGCCCTTGATCAAGAATGGCAGGATTCATCTTACCTGGCACATGGCCGTACCCTCTTCAGGATCACAGGAGAATCAACTCGAATGCAAGCCTATACTGCAAAATTTTATGTGTGGGTCAGGTGAATCTTACTGGAGATATTCCCTCATGCAAGTCTATATAGTGTCTCAGATTTTCAGACATCACTCTATAAAGCTCCCTCTGTGTGTGTGGTTTTTTTTTTTTTTTTTTCCTGTCAGGTGCTGAATTTTGGCTGGGTATTTGGCAAAACATTCTTGTAGTTCAATGAAGCAAAAAGTCACAACAGCAAGGAGTCTGGATAGTTCCTAGATATAGCATAGAAAGCACTCCACTACAGAGCTTGTATGTTAAAAAGTCAATAAGAAGTAGGATGTCTGGATGATAAATGAAAAACAAGACAAAAATCCCAGAGGGATTCTCTGTAGATTCACACGTCTTAAATCCAGAACTAGATATAAAGCTAGTTAGCAGCAACAACAACAACAACAACAAAAGGCATTTAATGAGCTTAAAAATAAACCCTCAGCTGTTGAGCTGATAAAAGTCTGCAACTGCTGGCACCTTCTAAGTATTTTTGCTTGCTTTAACAAAAAAATAAAAATATATATGTACTAAATKGCTCTTTTCAGAAAAGCCATGAACTGGTTCATGTGAGCAGTCATCTGTGCACAGCCCCAGCAGCTGTGCATCTGACATTTGTGGAATGAAATATTGACAAATGTCACTCAATTTTTAAAATGGATTTCCAGAACAGGAAATAGTATTGCTACTATTGTGTGTAATATTTAATTACCTGGAAAGAGTAATCACCTCCTYCCTCATGCTTCCTTCAGCCTGTAGAAATTCTTACTCCTCTCTTTGTTTTTTTCAAATGCCAGTTTTAATTTAAAAAGGCTTTAGCCACACGGTGGCCCTCTCTAGCTTTAAATAGAGACTTCCAGATCAGGAAGTAAAGGAAAGAATCCAAAGCTCTGAAAATGCAGCATGCTCTACCTTGCTTACCCTTTCTTTCCAAATAAAATCCAAATAAAATCTAACATCTCCTAAAAAATAAGTCCACCCTCACAGCACACATACAAAACAAGAACAGCTTCAAYAATGAGGATGTGAGTCCTTGTTCTTGTCCAAGGTCTTTCTACTGGGATCAAAGAAAAAGATCTTTCCTGAACAACTGTAGTRTCTTCTTCCCCAAAGGAAGTTTGCTTCAAGAAAGCCATGGGACACCTACGGCRTGTGAGAGGAGTTCAAGGGAACCATTTTAAGCTCCTTTGAAATGTCTGAAGTTCTTTACATTGACTTGTCCATAGACAACCCATAAAAAGTTGGCTGCTGTAAGGCAGGATAAAATTTTACTTGGCAGTCAGAAAATTGGAATACAACCATGAAATATTGTGACAGAGAAAAACCGAGACAGCGATATGAGAAGCTATGCACTGACAAAAATGTTGGTGTTCGTTTAAAAAAGCCAGCTTTTGACAGTTAAAGAGACGCATAAGAGTGGTGTGAAGTCGGTGCTACAGGATTCTGGACATTTAAACGTTTTCAATGTATTGAATCACATAAGGAGCTCATACAAACCACTTTTTCTGCAAAACCTTTCCTTTTTTTTTTTCCTGAAAATGTCCCCGAAGGGGGACATAGCAAAGTTGATGGCACTCTTCTCACTTACGTACGTTTCTTGCAGGTTTTTATTCTCTCCTGATGTGCTAAGAAGATGTTCCCCTAAATATTTAGTTCCTAATGCTGTCCTGCTCTCATTTTGCTATTTCAGAAAATGAAGTTTCCAGAAGATTTTTCTCTCTCTGGCAACTTTGAACAGAGAGTGGACAGGTTATGTTTCTTTTGTAGTGCATTGACATACCAAGATGATTGTATTTTTGCATGAAAAAAAACTATTAAAGCTTACCCTGACCTTGACATAAAACTTACATGTCATTTTTACACTGAATTATTTTAGGAACTTATTTGCTGGGAAACTCTTGAAACATTTTAGCAGGTGTTTTTCCTGATGTAGCAGATGTACAAAATCTCCTCTAAGTGTCATTCCTTTGCCAAGTCAACAGAAGGGAATTTCACTATTGAATGGAAAATGTTTCATTTTATAGAAGTTGGAGGATGATAAATGGAACATTTTTGCTTCTTTAAAAATAACAAGACTTCTTTCTGGATGTTTCCTGAAGTGTATCTAACATCACTGGCTATTAGACATCAAAGCACTATGTTATAATTGTAAAGTTATATTTGAGAGAGACAGACTTTCCAGAAGCCAATCCATTCTCAAACTAGGGAAAGAATTTGCCCAAGAATGATGGGCCATCATCCACCTGCTCTTTTGTGCTTCAAGAGCAGATATATTTCTGTATGCTTGCCTTTTATAATATATGTCATAGCTGCGTGTGAGAGACTGATCCCATCTAAGAGGGAACTTCTAATCTTTTTTTCTTGCAGTACCTAAAAGCAGCAGCATATGGTATTAGGACATAAGAAAAAACACCCAAGCAATGCAAAGCTTGCAGGAAAACACTTTCTTCTATAATTCTCTTTAGCAATTCATATTCAGGTAACAAATCAAAAAAAAAAATCAAATACAGCTAATTTTGTTTTTCAGTGGTAATGAAGCAAATTCTGATTATTTTTAGTTTCCTCTTCAAGAGTGGTTTCATTTTTGAACAATCTACTCTCTATTCAGGTAATTTTATCCTCAACTCATAGCTCAATTATTAAGCATCATTGTAAAATTTAGTTCTAAAATTTCTTCTTCAGGATGTGTTGTGTCATGTTTTCAAAGTTAATGTTACTACCAACTWCACAGAAGCATCTAGATTAGGGGAACTGGTAGGGTAAAATCAATATATCTTACTATAATCTACTACTTTACATGTTTGTAATTCTATACATTATTCTGTACTTAATTTTTTTGRCAGATTAAAAGTGATACGTACCACAATACTCTTTAAAACCTGAAGCTCTATCTCATATCGGTCAAGATTTATAAAGATTGTGTAAAGAAACACTTAAGTTGACTACACGCTTTTATTGATTAACTCAAGAAGAAAATAGTTACAAATTGCTTACTAAATAATCTGAAAAGTGTTTTTCTTTTGTGCTGTGCTGTAGGTCTGTCAATTATATGTTGTACCAAACTGGAAGTTTTTTCCTGCATACTAGATATAACAATGGTCTTACATACAGCTGAGTAAATATCTGTTATGGACTACAAAGTAAGAAAAATATTARATGACTTTAATATTATTCTTCCTTATTATCTAGATAGCAATCATCTCTAAGTTTCCCACAACTTTATTTTACTTACTAATAAAAAGGTTTCTTTATCTTGAAAGACTTGTGATTAAAAGAAGCTTCAAGAATGTTTGGATGTCATTCTTGTATAAGTAAATATCCTAAAACCTGAAATTCTGTCCTTTACACACATATTTTAATCA